CCTTAATCAGAGACAGCAGCTGAAGTGCTGCAGGACTGCATGATGCTTGTGTTGCACACCACATCGTGCAGAAGAGGAGTGGCTTGGATTTCTGGACTGTTTTGATTAATTAACTCAGTGGCTGACAACTCATCACAGCATGCAAGCATGCATGTTCATTAATCTGACCTTTTAACTCCTACTTTTGTCTTTTTCCATGATCCCTCTCACTATCTGGTCTAAGTATAGTGTTTCACAGGGGAATTTATTATTTTATTTAGCATTCAGACATGTGCATTTTCCTTCATATTTTGGATGAATCTAGCCCGGTAGTTCCAGTAAGTTCCTACCTAACAAAAGGGAATTTAGCATAAACAAGCACCAAAGGCTTGGGATCTTTCAATGCAACTGAAAACATCAACAAAAATCTCCCAAAATGATGGATTTTGCTCCATTGCTCAAAATCCAAATAGACAAGCATCCATCAGTATTATTTTATGTCAAAAGTCAAGAATGCCAAGTATTTTTAGAACTGATCATCCCTACTCCACCTGCATAGCAAGGGGATTGCTGACACAGTACCCAGAGAAAAAACTGCAAATTAAAATCCTCTGATTTTTGCTAGTGCTTAGGAAAAATAAACAATACCCAAACCAACCTGACAGAATCTCTGAGAAAATATATAAAGACTGTAATTGCAAGGCATATGTCTCCATAGGGAAGAAACCAAATATTGAAATAGCTTTTTTTTTTCCTCAAGAATTAAAAATGGAAAATATATGTCTTTCTGCAGACCCAGACAGTGGTTTTAAGCATGGTTTTATGTAATATCAACCTCACTGAAAGATCTGTCTGTAGACATCTTCCCTATTAATTAGCAATTTAGTGGCCATCTGTGGAAAGGGATAAGCAAATATGTTTTTCATTTAAAATGAAGCTGAGGAATTAATTGATTTTACTTCCCCTAGTAACTCATCCTCCTCTCTATATATACACACACACATACACTCAATAAAGAAAGTGAGGCAAAACCATGCAGGTCAGTTCACAGATGTGAAGATATTTTGCTTTGCAAAACTATAATTCACCATATGTTCAGGAAAAGCAGCTACACTGTAATAAGAAATACAAGCTTCCACAGAACAGAAATTGTTAAAAGCAGCCACTGGGTACTTCATCTCTATTTTAGAATAACTTGATCTTCCCAAAGAGATGTGCACTGTTTGAGGTCAAGAATCAAGAGCAATTTTCACCGACCCCCTCCAGTGGAGCTGACGAAGTGACAAAACATCCCTGGGGTTATGAGTATGCCACAGCCCCCCACAAATCTAATTAAGGGCTTCACCTTCCCATATCAAAATAACCAAGAACAAAACACCTTCTCTCTGAAAACTGCAGCCACAATGAGGCCAGAGGACAGTATGTGTATCATTGCATTTGAGAGCACAACACCTCCCTGCAGAAGGAGGCCCTGAAGCAGAGACCAGGGCTGCTGAGACAAAGCTAGGCTTTCTTAAGCTTTGTCCCAAGTGTAAGCACAACCAATAAAGTCAGCCCCACAGGCTCAATACCCACACACATCTTATTCACCTCAACCATGCCTTCCCAGTGTCTGTACACAGTTCATATGATGCACCCACTCCCCCTACAAGCAACATACATTAAATTTTTTACTGGGTCAACATTTGCACTCAGCCAAAATTCCCACTGGTCCAGGACAGCTTCATTAAAGTATTTCTAAATTTTTAATTAAAACTTACCTGGATTTATTATTTACCATAATGAAAGCTTGAATAAAAGAGGGAATGGAAGTAGTCCTACCTACTTTTTTAAACAGCTATCTGATATCACAGCAAAGTACTATTACTGGTGGTCAGTGTGTCTACAGAGTTAATGCAACACAAATGAAATTCTGCCACAGGATCAACTTTACAGAGGGAGTAAGCAGTGAGCAGGAGACATATCCTGCTGCCCTGAGCAGGAGGGAAACCACATTTTAACTTACGAAAGATGGAATTACAGTGTTAACTCCATCTCTCTGGGCACGAGCATGCTCAAGAAACATGGAAGGACACTAGTTATGAACTGCATATGCTTTCAAGTGCCTCTAATACTCTGAGCCTTTCTGGCACAAACACCCCATTTGGATGTCACCACAGGCCTGTGCTGACTGTAGCACAAACCTTTCAGTCAATCTGCCAGTGGAAACGACAGCAATGCACATCTTAAAAACACTTGTTTATACAGCAAGTCCTCTTCAGAAACAGAGGCTCAACAGACAAAATCCAAGATCAAAGAAAAAAGTATCACTGCTATTCACACCTTTCTTCTTCAGAAATTATTCAAGATATGGATCCACTAAACCAAAACAAAACTAGAAACCAAATTGCTAGAAACAAGGACTTGAAAAGCTTGCAAAGCCACCACACCACCTGGCAATGTACACACTATGACCAGCCTTTCCCAGAGGTACAAGAACTTTGTACAGTCAAATCCATTGGATGAAAAACAAGTCTGAGCAGGAAGAACTCACATTTCTAAAAGTAAACTCTTCCTTTTCCTCTACTTGATGCCAACATCTGCACTGCATGGAAGCAGCTCTTGAGTGCCCCTACCAAACCATGGAGGCACAGCTCATGGAGCAAACTGAAGCCAAGATCTTTGATATCAAAAATCAGAGGGAGGGTGCAAAGGAAGTGTTGTGATTCTGAATGGATTCAGGACCCACAGAGCTGTAGCTTCTTTGGCACCCTTCAGTGGGAGGGCAAGTTCCTGCCATGCACTGCACCCTGACTTCCTGCAGGGCAGCCTCACATCCAGCCCATGCAAAAAAAATTGGGGCTTGAAGGCATTTTCACACATATTCACCTTCTCCATCACAATTTCCAGAAAAGTCAGTTTCTTTGAGAAATAAAAATAAGGTAAAAATTTCAAAGGTGATCTTACTAATGCAATCATGACTGTAAGCTTAGCTGGCCACAGTATTGTTTAAGCCACTAGTCCTCTGATACAGCACTTACTGCAATTCAAATGAGCAGAGGATAAACCACACAAAAAGAAAGGTTATCATTTTATTTCTGCTCATGTAAATCAACATTATTTATGCATAAATTCAGTTTCTTTTGTCCACATCATATGAAGAGCTTGGAACGAGTACAAGTCCAAAAGAATCCCATGCACATTCATGACTTTTGAAGGCTATGCTTAATCATTATTCATAGCACTAAATAATAATACTGATCAATACTAGCTGTTCTTGTTCTAGCTAGTATCGTGGTCATAACAATAAGCCAAAGATCATGATATTTCCTATCAAACTGGCATCTTCATCAGGAAATATGTTTGGAAGCCTGTTTTGTGCTACACCACTACATTGTCTAATGCACCTTCTCATGAGAAAGCTGCAACATTTTATCCATGTTTTACAAAAATTTCCCTTCTCCTGTAGGGTGTTTTATTAGGATGATGGGACTCTTGGCAGAGGAAAAAGCTAGAAAAAGAAGATTAATAATTTTTATAGCTAAAATATCCCAATCCCTGTGTGATCAACAATGCTTGTCTTGATAGTTTTTTTCACTAACCTTTATCAGACTTAACACTGCACATGTAATCTCAGTGTGTAGCTTCAGTGTTACTGTAAAAGGACACATAAGAATCAAAGGTTCACATTTCAACAACAGGCACTGTGCTGCTAATTGATTTTCCTTACGTATTTGTGTTTGATTTTCTGCTTAGCAAGGATTGACTTTCTCCTACTCTGGATGCAATGTTACCATACAGAAGCTTCTATCTTTCTCCATACAATGACAAGTTTTCCCATGGACAAAGCAGATTTTTCCCCCCTTATTTTGGCTCAAGCTCCACCCTTATCTAGAAAACCATGACCTAGTTTAACAGTGGCCACCATAAGATTCTTAACTCCAAGTAGCTCTCAAGGCACATTGTATGCAGATCCTGCATTGAAATGACAACACGGCCAAAAGCTGGACAGCTTGGCACCATGTACTCGTTCTAACAAGGATGTCTGAGCCAGAGGTGCCCAAGCACAGCCTCACCCCCCTTGCTTCAGGATGTGTCTGTGTGCTCAGCCCATGACCGAGTTTGTGGCTCCTAAAGAGTCCCAGTTCTCTCTCCCTTAGAAGATGATGCTCCCAGATCTCCTCCCACACTCTGACCCACTTATCAAATGTGTACAGCTCTCAGACATGGAATAAGTTTGCCACATACTAAAATGGAGGCAAAAAGGTGAATTAATTCTTAACAGTTCAGGCTTTAAGCATCTTATGGTTTACTTAGAAGAGCACACTGAGAGGCTATGGACAGAATATTTTTTCCAAAACAACTGAATTTTTGCTAGTCACAACAATACTCCTATTTGTGATTTAAACCTAACCAGTAAGGAATTGTGTAATACTGCCACCAAAAATATTTTTAGCTGCATCGCATTTACCAGGATTTCAGATGTCCTTATGAAATCAGCATTCATGACTGTCTTAGGTTATAATATTGGGGTGCATTCCATTACCACCTCGAGCTGCAATCCCTTTCTTTCCTTAGAGATAAGTCCCTCCAGGAGGACCTGTTCTTTTAGCCACATGACTGATAAGATCACAGCATTCTATTGTGAGATGCTCCGCCCAGAGGGAGGAGCCAAACGATGCCACCAAGGATATAAGTGGGGTTGTGCAGACAACAAGTAGATCCCCTCTTCCAAGAGGAACAGCTGAGACCTTCTCTACACTGGACCTCCAGAGGGAAACTACATCAGTCTACAGGACCACTGCTTGGACAGAACCATATCTGCTACCACTGCCCTAGCCAGCAAGTGTCAGGTTGTATCTCTAACTCTGTCAGTGGTTTTTATTTTGTGCTATTGTATATATTTGGTTCTTTGTTTCCTTTTTCCTAATAAATTGTACTTCTGACTTAGAGCCTCTCACTGGTTTTGCTTTTCAAACCAGGACAATGACACGCAGCTATTTGGTGCTGTGTACGAGAAAGACAGAATCTCTAATACTTACAGCCAATCATCATCATAGCCACAGCGAAGATCTTCTCGCCGTCCGTCGTGGGAGCGATGTTCCCAAACCCCACACTGGTGAGGCTGGTCATTGTAAAATACAGCGAGGAGATGTAGACGGAATCTTTGCTCGGCCCGCCTTCCCACTTCCCGAAGCCGGAGGTGTTGAAGCGGTAGGGGGTCCCTATGGACTCTCCCAGCTGGTAGAGCCAGCTCTTGGTGCGGATGGTGTTGGTGTCCTCGTCGATGACCTCGTAGTCGCCGATGCTGTACCAGATGCAGGCCAGCCAGTGCGCCGCCAGCCCGAACACGCACACCAGCAGCACCAGCACCGCCGCCCCGTACTCGATGTAGTGGTCCAGCTTCCGAGCCACACGACCCAGCCGCAGCAGCCTGACCACTTTGAGGGAGCTGAAGAGGCTGCTGATGCCCTGGAAGGACAAAGAGCAATGGCCATTAGGGTTTCATGTGAAAGCAACGATATTCGGAGCTTCCAAAGAAACAAGGTGATCCTTGTTTCAGGTAACAGAGAAACCGTGACGCACAAAAAGCTTAGTGACCCTTTCCAGAGATGAATATACGCACTCCTGCCTTCATCCACTACCATTTTGTGGGTTCCTCTCTGAACTCCCCTTTCAGATTATTTGAATAGGTTTACAAATACCTTCATAAAAACTTCAAACGACAGGCTGTCTATTGCATATCCATATTTGAATTCTTATGCAACATGTCAGATGTAGTGTCAGAAAGATAAAGGCCAAAAGATACTGGCAGTACCTGGCAATCTGCAGATTTTCTGTTTCTTACAACACATTTCCTGTGACTGATAATTCATACGAATTCATGCACTGATAATCAGTCCTCTGACATTCATCATATGAACGACACAAAGTTTAATATTTCAAATATCTCACTAATCCCCAAATTATATCCTTTTTATGACAGCTTTGATATCAATGCAGTATTTCTGTGCTGAAAATAATATGGCTCCCATGAAAGAGAATTAAGCCAACATGCAGGATTTTGTATTGTTAACTTTTATACAGATTTGCACAAGAAGTAAAATAAAAAATTCAAACCCATTTGGAGCATGAGAAGATCTGAATAGCCTACCATAAAAAATAATTCTTTTTTTTTTCTACTTCCTCTTACCAAAACTGTTTCATACATAGAAGTCTGATTAAAATTTAAGCAGACTGGTTTAATGAGTATTTCTGGAAATGCATAATTGCATACTTCTGGTCACCAGCTTTTACTGGAAGTTTGTTTATTCCTGAATAAATACAACTGCCTCAGTATCTTAGGCTGCTTCAATGCACTAGAAAATATGTTTTATTAAATAATTACATAAAGTATATTGACTCATGTTCCCCAAGACTGCAGCAATACATTTTCCCTTTATTTCATGAATTTGTCATGATTACATTGACTCATTTTCAGAGACAGATGTAATTTGTTACCTGGGAACACACTAGCAATTTCTATTAAGTATCTGGACAAGATCTAATACAACCAGGGGGTGGGGAGTAAAAAGAGAGAGGAAAAAAAAAAGAATATAAAAAGCAGCCTTCATTTAAATCGGAGATATTTCCAGAAATCTAAAAGAGAGAGAATGCACTACTCTTTTCATTAATATCTATGCCAAACTTTTCAAGTCACGGATACAAAAATCACTACACAGAGTAAGTTAATTTCCATTTCCCATTCATTCCATACCCAGCTTTGTTTTGTAAACACTGGAGCAAAGCCTCAGTGCCAATTCTGAGAATATGGCACAAAAGGCCTTAATTTCCAGGGGAGGAAAAGCAGGTATTTCTGAACACTCAGTATTGGAGAGGAAAAGTAAAGTGGAAAATGAAAAAAATTATAACCATATTTTAGAATTGGACATGCAAGTCCTGGACTGACAAGCTGATTTAGTCTCTGCATTTAAAATATTCTGAAATTATAACAAAGTCTTCTGGCCTTTTCCCTCTGGGCTCACGCCCATTTCTCCCTTTTCTCTTTACAAACCTTACCAGTGAAACACTAACTTTTTACATTTTGAGAAGTCCCCAGAAATGGTGCTCTTTTAGCTTCAGTCTCAAAACCAAGCCTTTTAGTCATACATTGCTTAAAAATCTCCACCCCAATATGCGAGCAAACAGTTTTATTTTTGTGCAAAACCTGTTTTTCAAATTAAACAGATCCCTGCAATTAAAAAAAAAAAAAATGCTGTTTGTCAGCAAGAGTCCTATCAAAGCCAAAAAATAATAAAGGTTTAAGAAGGATTTAATAGCTTAGAATTTGTTTAATTTATAATTAAAATTAAAAAGAGTCAAGGATTAGAAATACTTGGGGAAAGGAAACAATCACAGAAGAGGAGCTCAAGAAATTGGATATGAAAAATGGGAATGCTAATTAAAATACGTGAAATCAGATTTTAACAGTCTAAGGGAAAATACTTTTCTCAAGCATTCTCTTATCCTAATTTCCCTTGTGGAATTCACTAAAAGAAATTTTATTTTAAAAATTTATAGGGAATTAAACTACATCATTTGGGAGAAACTGATTCTACCAAATTCTGACCAGAGATAAAGAGAATTAGGCTTTTTGTACAAGAAGAACTTGAATATTTACAGAAAATGTATACTTGATTTGGTTGCACTGGAAGGATACATTTAATATTCACATTACTCCTAATACTCACCTGATTGTATTGACAATGAGATTTTAAAAATTCAGAAAAAGCTCAATTTAAAAAAACCCTATTTATTTTTATTTCAGTATTAACAGTGCTCTCTCTTTGATTTCCTCAAAGGAAACGATTTGTCTATCATAAATGGATCAATATCAAAAGCAAGAACTGCACAGGGAAATGGTTATGCATATAACTCTTGAAAATTTCTAAGTGAAAGAATTTCAAATGGTTACAAACAACAGAAACTTAATAGACTGTTTCACAGATGATAAAGTAGGGGAAAAAATCAGATAGTCCTGAAATACTTTAAATCAGTACTTTTTGGCATTAGATTTAGCAAGTTATATTTCAATGCTCATTGGAATAGACCTGCTGGATTGAAAAATTGACAATTTTAGATGACCACTTTCTGAAATAGAACTGTACTTTTAGATTATTGCCCATTTTAATGCTCTTATCAGTGCAGATTATTTTTATGCTTTTATCGTACAGATGGCTCCACGACGTCATGCAAAGGAGCCTGAACTCAATTTACTTCCCTTCCACCCTCTTGGTCTGCTGCTCCTGCCAGTTTTGAGAGGCAGATTAAAAGACACCCAGAGATCCTTGTGCCCAAAGGAAATAGAAAAACCTCAGTTCATGAAGAGCTAGAAATGGCACTGCGTGTCCCAAGCAGGCATCCCCAGGTACTCTGCTCTAAAGGGTCACCATAAGGAATGTCTGTGTGGCAGCCAAGGAAAGGACAAGGCTAAGTAATATTCCATGGGCTTCTGCTGGGTCTGATTTACCCCAACAAAGCTGCAACTACTGGAACTCTGTCCAACAGAAAACATCCCTTGAGGGTATGCAAAAATAAATTTTAAAAAATCTGTTATATGGCCAGAATAGACACATAGTACATTTTTACTATATTTTTTTTACAGAGGGAAGTTGGGTCCAGCGCTCACTTCAATATGCAGCACTTGGTCAGGTATGTCAGAAAATACTGAATTTCACAAACTCTTATATTTCAAATGTTTTGAAGCGACTGAATGATACTGAAAAAATTCTACTGCTGATACCTATGTATTGATGTTGATAAATATTTCATAGGTTGGCAGGTTTACTTTCATTGCCAGTGATGGCTGCTGCACAAAAAAAGGAAGAAAGTGTAGCCAGTCCCCTCCAAACCAAAGGGCAAGCTCAAGACACTGAAGAAATAATTCTATAGCCACTGACTGAGCAGAATTAAATGTCAAAAGCTCTTAAAATAATAAACACAATCACTTCCTCTCCTTCTACACGTTTGTTGCAGAGTAGAACTGTACCCTTAAAACATACCAGCCTCCCAGGGGAAAGCAGTGTCCATATTTTATATTCAAGAAAAGTACTTCATAAGTTTGTCCATACAATACTGCCAAAAGTAAATTTCCATGTGTCATTTGTCATTAGTTAGACTTCCTTGCTATATACTGTGCACATTTACACAGATTTTCTTCTGCATTTCCTTGCTTTCTGGAAGATCTAATCTATGTGAGTGCACCCCTTGTCTCACGCTGATACCTCAGCCATGTAAGTAGCCTTCTTTCCAAATACAAGATCCAGGACATCCATGTTTTGCCTCTACCTCTCAGTCAGACAACATAAAATTTGTGCTATTACTTCCACACCCAGATAAGGAGGCAGAGACACTGTGAAAACACAAGGGCTGTAAGCAGAGCAATTATTGTTACTTATGTCTTTGTGGTCCAAGAACAGGAACAGTGGACACACTGTGATAGATGCTGTACAGATAAAAGCAGTTGCTGCTGTTCATTTGCCATGCAAAATTAAATTCAGCTCAATTCATTGTCTAATAAAAGTCCACCTAGAAAAAAAAAATACAAATTGTCTAATGAACAGCCATAAAAAGTAACTGAGGCCACTCCACCTGCCCCCTCAAAAACGTGAGAAATACTTCATTTTCCATTCCAAACAAGAGACAGCATGAACAACTGCAGAAAATAACTAAAATGCTGCATTCACCCCACCTCCTACAGCTGCAGTAGCACAAGTACTTTAGTAATAGATTCAATCTACATGACAGTATTCACTGTTTAGGCCATTATTCACTTTCTACATGTACAGAAAGAAAATGCACTTAACCCAAGCATTAAGATTTTTTTTTCTAGGCTCAAAGGCAGGATAATTTACTTCCTACTTATTACCTATTTTTAAAAAGAGAAATATTCAGTATTAGCACAAATCTTTCCGAAGTTTTCCAGCACTTTTCTCTCATATGGAACTGCTAAAGTTCAGGCTTCATATCAATTAATGGGCGATGCAGGAGACTAAAAGCTAACCATTAAAAGAAAGAGAATGAAACAGACAAAAAAAATAAATTATTTATTCCAAAAGGGGAGGCAATGAACCAAATTTATCACTACTGTGAGGCAAGAGCTGCAGAAAGCACTGCCTTCTTTCTTGACACTTTATTTCAAGTCAGCCATGCCACAGCCTGGCTCTGCCTATCTGCAGTAACCTGGCAGCCCTGTCAGGTCATCATTAGGACTACACATTTCCATAATTTGTCTCCCCTGATTTTCTTAATTAGGTCTGAGAACATGACCTTTCCTACAGATGTCCATATTTAGCAACTAAGAGATGAGATAGCGTTATGTGCACAGGTCAAAATCAATATCTAAGCCCTCTGGATACTGCTGTGGTTTGCAGCACTGAAGAAAACAGATCTCTAGACCCCTGAAGCCTATTTTAGTCAGACATCTGTGAGCT